TGGCAATGAGACAATATACGATAGAATGAATGTAAAACTAATGTTCTCCCATGTAAACTGTCACATAATTCACAATAAATCATTTAAGGGGAAAAAAAAGTGTTAATATGTATCTCTAGTGGAATATGGATTTGAACCCTTGCTCACCTCTTACTCTGTGATCTTGGGCACATTGCTTAATCTCTCTGAGCCTCAGTCTTCTCATCTGTAAATAAGTATATAAAAGTGCCTACCTCATAGAATTGTTAAGAAGATCATCATATTAGAGAATCAGTACAAGCCACATAAAACAGGGCCAGGCACATCGTAAACACTCAATAAAAGTTAGCTATTTTTTATTGTTATTTCTACAACCCGTTACCATTCCATCACTAAATGTTACATGAGCACCTACTGTGTATCTAAAATTGTATAACCGTTTTGGTAGCCAAGAAGAGATCATTGTTCATAGCTGATCTCATCCCATTTCCGTCCTCTCTAGGCTATAGATGTGTTTTCCTGGGTATGGCAAGGATACTGACCCATCTCCACTGGGCTCTTCCCTCATAAATTCAGCAAAATATAGGACATGAATCTGATTCCATCCTTTATGCCATCGGTACACTTACAGACCAGTTTCTTTGTTAATGATGCCAAAATCATTTGAGGAACAGTAGAAAAAAAAAAAGGGAAGTTGTTATGGGTCAGAATGCAGTTGGCCCTTGAGCAAAATGGGTTTGAACTGTGCAGACCACTATGTATGCTGTTGTTTGTCTGTTTTTTCCTATTGCTGTGGTGGTGAGCTCAAGTGTTGTGAGTATCCACCTAAGAGTAGGAGTGTAAAAGTATCAGATAAAATACTGTGTAACACTAATAATCTTGGCAGGAACAGTTCATCTCTTCAGTTAGAGGGGAGGAAATGGTGAGGGGCTAGCAGTTACTGCTCACGCAGAGATGGTTAGCATCACATGGCATTTTAAACAGATACTTTTATGCAGATACTCGTAACATTTGAGCTCACCGCATAGCAGTAGGAAGAGAGTCTGTATAGAAGTGGGCCTGGGTGATTCAAACCCGGGTTGCTCAAGGGTCAGCTGTAATTGAAATATTTACAGTTAGCAGAAGGAATAACGCTTCATTGCTGTGAACTCACAAATAAGCTGAACAAATATTTTACTACTCTTGGCTTAAATTATTTTATCTATATAAAACAAGCATATGAATTCAGTGATTACCAAGATTTTTTATAAGACTAAACATCCTTTGCTTGTAGTTTTATGGGAGCAAAACAGACTTGAATGGAACAAAATGGAGAAGTCTGAGAGCAAAGCCAGTAGAAATTCTTAACTGAAGAATTTCTAAAGGAAGGATCATTCTAAGTGGAGGGAGAATCCTAAGTAAAGGTAAATAAGTAGGAATAAGATTGTTGTAAGTAAGCAGCCAGCATACATATTAGGAAGAGCCTTTTGGCTAAAGGAGATGTTAAATGTTAAATGGCAATGAAACTAGTCATTAAATAGAATACTATCAGATGGAGATAAGGTGGGTTTTTAAAAATTATTCAGACAAGTTTGAGTTTCGTATAGAGAGATTCATTATGGGTATTGACTAGGAGACTGATATGAAAGTGATATTTTAATAAGGAAATTAGTCATCACTATGTAAAATAAGTTGGAAAGACTGAAAAATAAAAATTAGACAAGACTGCCGTACACCAGGCCTGCCATTAATATAACCTAGATGGAGACAGTTAACATGAAGACTAATGAGTAAGTCTAAGAGATGAAGAAACCAGACACAGGGATTGAAGAAGAGTGCAGAGTTTTCCTAATAGTTCTTGCCAAGAAACTAAGAAGTGTCATACCTGCACTGGAACAGCTGGAAAGGAGCACCGGTTTGCAGCGGAAAGGAGGTAATTGTTAAGTGGCATCAGATTCCGACTCACAGTGACCCTATGCAAAGGTTTCTGAGGAGCAGCTGGTGGGTTTGAATCACCAACCCTGTGGTTCTAAGTCCAGTGCTTATCGTACAGCACCACCCCAGGAGTCCAGTTAAGTGAAAATAAATGCATGAGCATGTGAAAACTATGAAGAAACCCATTCCTGAGGAAACCTGTTCCTCTTGGCCTTTATTTTTCTGTTGTCCATGCTTCTTTCATGTCTTGGTTTGCATGAACCAGCCTTTCTTGTTTATCAAAACAAATTGTACACCAAGAAGCCATCTTAAAAATACCTTTTTTGTTGTTTCCCATTGCCTACATCTTCGAACTAAAGCTTCCTAACTAAGCACAAAATAATCCTTCACAGACTCACCTGCCTAACTGTTGACCCTCATCTCTTTTTGCCTTCCCTCTATTCTCTTCCAACGTGTAGACGCTTTTTTTCCTTCTGTCTTTGCACTTGATGTTCATTCATACCTGCATCCTCGGGTATCACGCCTTTCACAAAAGCCTTCCTTGACCACTGGCTCCTACACAATCAGGCATCCTTCCTCTGTACCTCCATGTTCATACCTCTTATGTGTAAATATCACTGTTTTGTAATTGATTACATTTCTCTATCATCTAATTAGAATGTGAGTTCCTTGAAGGCAGGGACCTAGTAGTTTTATTCATCTGGAGACTCCAAGTGCTAACTGTATAGTTCAACACACAGGCATCTAGTCTAACAGTATTATGAATTAATTCTTTTGGAGCCATTAAGGCTGTTTTAAAAGACCCATTACAGAAAGTACTGATTAAAGTTGCTGAACTATGTATGGGAATGTTGTTAGTAATTCTCTGCCTCCCGGAGGCAGTGGAGCCTACATTTCATGAAGTGAAGCAAGCCTCTGATGAGTAGTGAACTCTCCCCTGCTTCAGCAGCAAATAAAAGTGGTTGCAGATGTGAAAGCTAGAGTCTTCAGACTTGTTTCACTATCAGAGTTTGCAGTCCCCATCTCCAGGAAACAAAATAGTAAACATTTCATTCCTTTTGTTTCGGTATTCCGATAATTTCGAGAAATTATCAAACAAGAAAAGAAATTCTGGAGAAGTTGAAAGACACAGACCCAAGCAGATGTTCCTGGAATCTTAAGGTCGCACTTCTCAGGCAGAATGTGTTTGTTAGCTTTTCAAAGAATAATCTGTCGGCATGTTTTTTTCTGAGTGATTTTAAATTCATTTCCTAGGAAATGCCAATCGCCTTACCTTCCTGCTATTAAGCAGAATGGAGCTAATGAAAAGATGACCAGCCCACAGAGCCCTTAAGATTGTTTTTGTTTTTTTTTCTAAAGTGGTTTGGACCCACCATTCTATGGCAACTGGCGCTGTATTGAGGCTTGAATGGGTGCTATAAGTGGAAGATGCAGCTGTGAATTAAAGACCTTAGGGAGAGACTCTTGTAGCCCATCTGTCTGCATTTGAGAAAGACCTCCTTGCTGTAGACCTAGTCAAAAAATCCATCGAAGCCAGAAATTTGCACTTGAAGTGCCTTCCTTTCCCCTGAATATCAGCTCTTTCATTCTCACTAACAGTCAAGGTCTTCTGATGGGAATTGAGAATTTGGAAAGTAGGGGGTCATAGTTTTTTGTTTTTTTTTTTCTTTGAGAACAGGTCCTGATTAATTTTCGCATTATGCCTGTGGATCCTGCATCCTGCCCCAGTACTAGACCTGTATTATGTCTTCCTTGCTCCACTGTGTGTCAGGCACCTGATCCAGGATAATGGGCTTGCTTGTTGCTGTGCATTAGTATCAAATCTAATATAACTTATGATCCATTTCATATCTTCTGCCTCCCAAAGGAGATTCTCTTTCAAGAATCAAATTTTGATGAGTTTCTCTTTGAAAACAATGTGAAATATAAATGTAGCTGTAATGATGACTTTACTGACTCCCTGTGGGGTAGAATTCCCAGTAATAACAGATTTAGCATGTGGGCTGATACCTTTTTAGTATCACAGGGACAGCATTGTTTAGAGACAGCCTTGACTCGGTTTGAATAGTACAGAGGATGCCAGGAGGAAGGCCAAAGGAAAAGGAAACCGGAGAGCTGTTGGTTTATCTCACCCTCACATCAGATGACAGGAAGTCAGAATTGAGATTGGCCACAGCAACCTGTTAAGGCCACATCTGTTTGAATAACTTAAAAGCTCTATAGAAACCAAATAAGTTTGATAGTAAGGAATCCAAGAAGAAGGTGCAGGGCAGAGTGGCAAGGAAGACTTTGGGGTAAATATCCTGCCTGGAATAAATTTCGTCCTTGGCCATCTGTATTCTTTACTTGACTGTACCCCATCATATAACTATGGCTAGGCAACTGGGCTTGGTTAGTTGCCCACTGCTGGAGGATAATGTAGGAATTGGCTAGGTTCTCTTCTGTGTGTGACCAGACTCATTCATGTTATGGTTCTACACATTGTCCTCATTTCCATTCATGTCAGGAACTGAAACTCTCAAGCAGCTCTGGAAGTGCCACTTGCTGTGGTTTGGTTTTTGGCAGAGTTTCTCACAAGTGTAACTTGGGTCCAGTGATTAACTATAAAATCTAATAAGTCTGCCAGTGTTGTTTTGTTTTGTTCATTTGTATGGATATATATATATGTTTGTTACTTTACTTTTGAGGTAGGGTAGGCTTTGGCATGTGGAGCGTGGGTGTGTGTTTCTATTGGCGTTATAGCTATTTGTTCATAAATACTATTGCATTGCCAAGAAATAAAAATAAATAAATCAACACTATATTAGCATTTTTCTCCAAAAGAAAAACAAACGGAGTTTGTGGGCCGGACAGCTGTTTGTTAGGTGTGGTTTTTTGTTTGGTATTTTTATGTTGGACAGATACATAGCCATGACAATTCTAGTTCCCATTCCAAATAGAGGCAAACAACTCTGCCAAATAAACCAGCATGACAGTTTGGAGGGAAGAAGGTGGGTGGGGGGCGGCCGACATGAGAGTCTATCCCAGGGATAGCTTTATCTCACCATTTTAGGCCAAGAAACCAATACATTACCCTTCGTGTACTCATGACCATTCTTTCCCCACAGATACCACCTCCTGAAGCTCCTCCAGAAATTTGGCAAAGTAAAGCAGTTTGACTTCCTCTTCCATAAGTCAGGTGCTTTAGAGGGACAACCTCGGGGTTACTGTTTTGTTAACTTCGAAACTAAGCAGGTAATTGAGCTTCCATTCCATTTACATAGTACTTATCAAACTGAATCATAATTGTTTGTGCATCTTTTACCTAATCTCAGGTCCTTGTGGACAACAGCCATGTCTGAACTTCATATGCCTAGCATGGAGCGTTAAAGTAGATTCTCAGTAAACAGATGCATTATTAACATCTTTCAGATGTTCCCTCCCTAGGCTCGAGGTCTAAGGCACTGACCTACTTTTCGGACTCAGTGCTTTGGGATGCCCGCATGAAGTACATGGATGTCCTCCTCCCTGTCCCCTTGTGTTTGTCCCTTTAGTGGCTGTCCAACAAAACCTCTTTTTCTTTCGATTGTTTTGCCCTGTGGTGCAGAAGCCCTGTCTGTGGTGAGCCACCCACAGGTATTTATTTTAGTTTGATTTCTTAAAAATGTACCCTTCTCAGTATCTCAGAGCAAATGCATACAAATTTGAATCTATAAAGGGAGCTTCAAAAAGTTCTGTGGGAAAATTCCATTCTCTTTTAATGCCATTTTTCCCACAAACTTTTTTGGAGCCCTCATGATAATATGCATGTACCTTCTTGGATTAAAGTTTGAGTCCTTGGTATAGATATGCATTGATAAATTCAATCTGAATGTACTATACAGCTACTGTTCAGTACTCTTGACTTTATTAGTCATTTGTAAGAACACTGTCTAGTTACTGTTTTGGGTTTTTTTTTTTTCATTTCACAGTAATTGTATTTGAATGTTTTTCTTATTATAAAAGTAATACATGTTTATTATAAATGAAAACTTAAACACAGAAAAGAAAAAGAATAATTTAAGTCACTTATCAGCCCAATGCCCAGAAATAATTACTGTTAGTATTTAGTTATGTAACTTCCCAATCTTTCTTCAGATTCATATACACACACCATGCATAAAAACACATAAAGATTAGATCATACTGTCATTTTAATCAAGGAGCCTTGCTGATGCATTGGTTAAGCACTCCACTTTGAACTGAAAGGTCGACAGTTTGAACCTACCAGTCACTCCTCAGGAGAAAGATTGGCAGTTGGCTTCTGTAAAGATTCCATAAAGATCACAGCCATTAAATCCCTACCATGCAGTTCTGCTCTGCCCAATGAGTCGGAATTGGATATCATGTTTTATTGCTAAACATTTATTAGCTGTGTCTTCTAATACCCATCATGGAAAAAAGATGAGGCTTTCTACTCCCACAAAGATATAAAAACTCAGAAACCCTATTCAGGGCCGTTGTGAATCTGAACAACAACAACAAATACCCATCAAGATAACATTCCAATATGTTGGTAAGTGCTATCGAGTCCTTTCCAACTCATAGCAACCCATTATAGGGTTTCTGAGACTGTAAATCTTTGCAGGAGCAGAAAACCTCAACTTTCTCCCTCAGAGCAGCTGGTGGACTCAAGCCATCAACATGATTCTCAGTCCCATGCTTATCCTACAGAGCCACCCCATGCTCCCCTCACTGGCATATACATATATAAAAAATTATTTTTTCTATATCCTTACTATTTTGTGCATTTTAGTATACATATTTTAGGCCTCAGTTAAACTAATAGACATTATTTTTTATTATTATCCAGTACTTGATAGAGTATATCTATGGTAAGTTCTTTTACTAATCACCAGTGGTTAGCTATTTAGGTTGTTTGCCATGATTCCCTAGTGTAAATTGCCTAGTAGTGAATATATCCATAGCTGTAACTAGGTACATATTTACTACATAAAATGGCGTTGTCAAAGATCATGCATATTTTTTGTTAGTTCAATTACCAATTGCCTTCCAGAAATGATGTGCCACTGTATTACAAGGTTGTTATAAGTGTCATTTCTTCTTACCAATGCTGGCTGTTTTTTATTACTTCTAATTTTTGCAAGTGATCTAGGGAATAAGTGACACATTATTATAGTTGGTCAAGGCTTTTTACAAGAACTGACAGAATGCTCTATATAGTTAGCATTTTTAAAACCTTTTTCCTTCCTTAATGATAAGTATTCTTGAGGACAATTAAAATCAATGATCGTGATAGAGTTGATGTTGATTGTAAAACACTAGACTATAAGTCATAAAACCTAGCTTCTGTTTCTGGCTTTCTTATTTATTAAATTTGGACAAATCTCTTCACCTCTTTTGGCCTCCGTTTGCATCTGAAAACGAACTTTGAAACATTTCTACCTGCTAGCATCTGATTACTTGTTCATCAGATGAAGCTTAAAAGAATAAAATGTCTTTTATATATCCCTCTAACTTTGTAGTTTTAATATATGACTAGATTATGATCATACCTCACTCTTTTTTCATGTACTGAAGTCAAAGGAGGAAGCAATGATTTATTGAGCACTAAAAGCACTGGTAGCACAGTGGTTACGAATCGGGCTGTGAACCTTAAGGTCAGCAGTTCGAAACTACCAGCCTGTTCCACGGGAGAAAGATGAGGCTTTCTGCTCCCGTAAAGATTTCCCTGTACAGGGTCGCTATGGGTTGGAATCAACTTGACGGCATTTAACAACAACAAAAGCACTGGAGTACAAGGTCAATTAGAACCCGCAAGGTGGTGGTTCAAACCCATCAGACGCTCCTCAGAAACCCTATATGCAGATTTGCTACACTTAGAACCCACTCGACAGCACTTAACAACAACAACAGCAATCTGTGTACTATAGAAATCCTGGGGTGACACTGTAGGATAAGCACTGGACTGCTTACTGCAAGGTGGACAGTTCAAACCTACCAGCCACTCTGGGAAACTCTATACAGGGTTGCTATGAGCCGGAACCAACTCAACAGCACTTAACAACTTGGTGTGTTATCTTGAGGCAAGTGTGCCAGGGACTATTGAATGCCTGACACATACTGGGTACTCAGTAAATATTTGCTGAATGTCCCACTGACAGGCTCTGGAAAAACTAGAGACTCACCAGCAGAACCAGACAGGACAGCCTACTGGATTACACTCCAGCCACAAATAGAACGTTCAGGACTACTTTCGTCGTCTGTTCCTGAAGGACTTTTTCACTCTAAGTAAACATAAATGAGTTCTGGTGTAGCACTGTGGTTAATGTGCCAGGCTACAAAGCTGTTTAAACTGCAAGGTCGGTAGTTCAAGCTCCCCAGGTGCTCCTCGGAAACCCTATACAGGGTCGCTATGGGTCGGAACCGACTCAATGGCACTTCTCAACAATAACAACAAACATAGATGAATACCTTGTGGACACAAGTGGGACATAGATTTGTCAAGATAAGAAAATGCAGTCAGGTTTCCAGGGAATAACTTGGAATCCACCTTCGGGAATTTCTTTCACCCATGTTCTTCTGTCTCATGGGGGGATGAGTCAGGGAATTTTGGGTTCTGAAAACCAGGTGCTAGATTGACTCATACAGATACCTTGTTCATAGTCTCTTTGACTCACTCCTTTTTCCTTCCTAATTTCCTTCACTGCCAGATCGTTGTAACCCACTACTGTTCTTCACTTGGGAGCCCTAGTCCAGGATATACATAGTTCCAAGGCCCCTGGTGAGAGTACGCTGTTTTGACATAGTAGGTAGTGGCCTGTAGAATCAGCACTGGACTCAACCCACAGGTCAGCAGTTCAAACCCACCAGCTGCTCCTCGGAAATCCTATGCAGGGTTGCTATGAGCTATGAGTTGGGACCGACTCAACAGCACTTAACAACAAAAACCCCAATTAACAGTAATGTATAGAAAGGTATCATGTAACAAGAACAACAGTCTAAGGTCATATTTGCTAAGTGTTTACCATAGCCTCTCTTATGTACTCTGAATCCTCACAACAGCCAACCTCAAGTGCTAGTATTCATATTGCACAGGTGAAAGGGCTCTAGTATTCGGAGATATTAAGGGACTGCCAAACTTCATACTGCCAACAAGAGACAGAGCAAGGATTTCCATTGTTGCCTAACTTCAAAAAGCTCATGCTCTTTTTTTTTTATTCTGCCTTTTTTATTGTAATTCCTTTGCCAGTTGTTTACTAAAAGCAGTTTGATTAGAAATCAGCCATCGAGGGTAGTGAAGCCCTGCCAGGAGATCTGTGGCTAGTTAGGCATTTGAATGTTTGATTAACAGTCGTCTCTTTCCTGGACAGGAAGCAGAACAAGCCATCCAGTGTCTCAATGGCAAGCTGGCTCTATCTAAGAAGCTGGTGGTGCGATGGGCTCATGCTCAAGTCAAGGTATGTACAAGAGGCATCAAGCCTCGTCCTATATGAGTTTTCTAAAAGAAACTGTCCACTTGCCCATTTGCAGCCAAGCCTTTTCGCATCTGGAACAGTCTTACTTTGGTCTCCTACTTGTATTTACCATGTGTGTTGCCAGATTTTCCTTTTGAGAAACATCTCAGGAGGGATTAAGTTCCTTCGTTGTTTCTTTCCATACGCCAACAGATCCTGCTTTTGATTGATTTTTCCATGTGGCTGATATGTATACTCAGACCTTTATCGTTTTTTTAGTAGGGGTGGTTCTTTGGAGGAAGAAAATGTATTTTTAAAATTAGTTGCTCTAGGCATTATTAGAGTCTTCCCAGCCTCTTAATTCTGTGGAGAATTTAGATATGTTTATTCTAGATGCTTGAGAAATGGGTGGTTTGTGCATGTGTTTAAAACACAGGCATCTCCTTACTTAAGATATTTTGAGAATTATTAGGTTGTGGGTTTGTTCAACTTTCCAGTGTCTGAAAAATATTATCTCCAGGCCCTGAGAAGTGACAAGCTCTCTTGTTTACCTTTGGAAGAATGTAGTAGAAAAGCTGAGACCATTTTTCTTTTAAAGGAATCACATTCTATTACAAGTGACACAGAGGTAAAGTGTGTGGACCAGAGCAAGGACAAGAGTTAACTCTCTTTTTTCTGCAGTGGGATCTTGGCAAACCTGCCTATGAAAAAGATTAGTGACAGTGAAAAGTCGAAACTTCAATCTTTAGCCGTGGGAGCATAATTTTTTATCAGAGACTTGCTACTTCCCTTCCCAACATACTTCCCAGTCAAGAGTCACAGAAATGGATCCAACATTTGAGCTTAGTGTCCAACCTGAAAAACAAAACTCAGACACTTTGGATCCTTCTGAGTATCTCAGGTCATTACTGAGCCTTCTCAGTTTCTAGGACACATTGCCTTAAAAATAGAAATAAGGAGAATTTCCAAATACTTTTTTACTCAAAAGAAAACAAGTCTCGTTGCCAAACTGTCTGTCATTTTCTCCTTCTGCATCTCATTGAAAATACACGCAAAGAAAATCATCCTTTGTTCTGTCTTTCATTTGAGCATCTCTTTGCCATGCTGTTCTCTTCTCCTATAAGTCTCTTTTTGACAAGAGTCTCCTTCATTGCTCTTTTATACTTACAGAAATTATAGTTGACCCTTGAAGAATGTGGGGGTTAGGTGTGTCGGCCTCACACACAGTCTAAAATCCATGTATAACTTTTGACTCTCCCAAAACTTGACTACTAATAGCCTACTGTTGACCTGAAGCCTTCCACATAGCATAAACAGTTGATTGACATTGATTATACACTGCACCCACATAAAAGCTGCCTTTTCAATACAAGATAAAAAAGGTATTTTTTACAAAAAGTGCAAAATTTTCATGCCTCCTGGCATCATTGCAACAACACCGTTAAGAATTTCCATTTTTTTTTACAGTGATCCTTAGCTCTAAGCATTCATTTATCTTGAAATGGTAGGCAGGTGCAGCTACAGACTTCAATATATTAAGCCTTTCAATTTTTTCTTGTAATGTCATGACTTTACTCTGCTACTTGGAAGCACTTCCAGCATCACTAGTAGCATTTATGTATTGATCCCATGGTTATTCAAGGCTTCATACCAAGCATGATGAAAAATACACAAGAACCACAAGGGATTACTTTTTACTGCAGTATGCAGTTGACTAGAGAGACGAACTGCTCACACACAAATGATTAGGGGCACACAGTGCTTTTTGTTTTAAATCTGTGTATATGTGGACAATGCCGTTCAAAACCTCTGCTCAACGGTTATCTGTATAAATACCTGATATCAAATTGAATTACTTTTTACTTTATTATAGAATGTTTTCCAGATCAATGGCTAGAAACTGTTACTACTTTTTCTAGTCATGCCTTTTAAGCACTGGGTATTCTGCTCAGCACTCTGAAAAATCTAGCAGAATTTTATGAAGCGTTTTGAGTAAAATAAAATGAGTATTGTAACAAATAATATAAAAATGTAAGGAGAACTGTCTTGCTGTGTATTTGTAGCGTCTGTAAGTTCAAATGTTGTAATTTCCCTATCAAATGAAGACTAAATGATACTGTAGTATAAGTACTGGAGTGCTAACCACAAAGTTGGCGGTTCGAGCTCAACAACCACTCCTGGGAAACTATACTGGGTCGCTGTGAGTCTGAACCAACTCAGCGGCACTTTATAATAACAACAATGGCTACATGAGAAGCTTCTTAACTTTTGTCATAAGCTTACAGCTTTCACACCAAAACTATGTGGGGTCTTATATTAATTTAAAATGTAAAGCAATCTGGTGACACATTGATGTGGTTGGTGCTTCTGACCTGTGTGTGACGGTGGAGGCCTTGTTTCTGCCCAGGTGACATCATTTCCCTTTTTCTTTCTTTCAGAGATACGATCATAACAAAAATGATAAGATCCTTCCGATCAGTCTTGAGCCATCCTCTAGCACCGAACCCACTCAATCTAACCTAAGGTAAAGTGACATACTACAGACATAGACAGACACAAATCATATCCGAAAGCGTGAGTCATTTCTTCACTCTAAGTCTTCGTTCATGTCCAAGTAAATCTTCAGACTCGTAATTTAAAATAAAATCTGCTCACTTTTAACATTTTGAGAAATATGTTTGGTTTATCTCCAAAATTTTTACATTTCCTCTCCCATCCTTGCTAAGATGGTAAATTGTTCTTTTATAGAATTCTTTCACTCAAAAATTGGGTGGTGCTCCTATCGTGCACCAGGCATTATGCTTGACACTGGGAATGCAATGGTAATACACAGTGTTTATCTGATATCAAACATTGTAATAAGGCCTTGGGTCGCTTTGACGTTTGTCATTATATACAGACACTTAAGAGACCCAGCTCATTCTTCTCCAACTATGAATTATCCTTATACAGAATTTTAATGTGCAGGTTTTAATTCTGTGTGCCATGTTAGCAACTCTAGTAGTTTGGTTCCTGTATGCACAAATTGCCATTACTTCTTTTGTGTTAATTCAAAACAGAAGAAAGTCAGAGTTTGGTAGAGAAAGGAGAGGTTTAATGATGGCTGGGCAGAAATAAAGGTTTGTTTCATTATAGCTTAGGGGGAGAGTTTAACAATATTGGTAACAATGGCTAAGATGTATTGAGCTTACTATGAAGAAGCATTGTGCTGAATCCATGTAGTATTTCATTGAATTCTCAAAAATTCTAGTGACTTTTAGGCTCATTTTATCCATGCAGAAACTGAACTTTACAGAGGTAAAATATCTTGCCCATGATTATTTAGAAAGACTGTTAATAGCAAATAGCAGCGTGGGGATTCAAACCAGGTCTGTTGAACTTAAAAAGTCAAGCTTTTACTTAGTACTTTAAAGAAACTCCAGGCTGTACCAAAACCTTATCCAGGTAAGAAAAAGAGCATCAATGGCACACAAGGATCAGAAGCCCAATACTCAGTTATAAAGGAAAGTGATGCCTAATTGGATGGAGAACTAAAAAGATAAAAACCAAAAGGTTGACAGTTTGAACCCCATGCTGTGGAAGAAAGGCCTGCTGATATGCTTCACATGAGGTCACCATGAGGCAGAATTGACTAAGATAAAGGGCTTGGTCTATTTTGGGTTTTGTTTTTTGGTTTTTGAAACTTTGGCAAAAGGTCATCCCAAAATGTTTTCAGGTGACTCAGTCCTGGTGTGGTGCTGTAGTATAAGCACTGGACAGTAAGATCAGTTTGAACTGCAATGGCCGACTGTTCAAATCCACCAGCTGCTCCTTGGAAACTCTATACAGGGTCGCTATGAGTCAGAAATGATGGCACTGAACAACAAGGATTGATAAAACTTGCCAATTTTAAATTAATTTTATATTTACTAATTTACATTAAATTCTGTTGATTTTTCTTAATTTTGTGCTGCCTTTACTGTTTAATCCTTCCAGAATTTTTTTTTTTTTTAAACTATAGTGTCTGATTAATTCACTGGGAATTTATATCCACTGTTCTTTTTACCCCCATAAGATTTGAATTCCTTGATCTTAGATTGATGAGGTTTTCATCAATATGACTACTGGGAAGGAATGACTACATTTATGTTGGTTGGTTTTTAAGTTACAATTAACATGTCTTTAGGGTTGTTTTTTTTTTTTTTTGTATCAATGTTTTTACTTTTTCCCAAGTAACCTGTTTTTCCATTTATTTTTTAATCCAGACAGCCTTGGTTTACATCCTTCTTTGCCTAATTAGAGGAGGTTGTTTCCTTGTGACTCATACAGTATAAATGGCCATCCCATTCATGGGAGAGGTGCTGGAATGCATCTCGGTAATACCACAGTTTTCTTTTTATTGTAAATTAGGTTCTTAGTTTCTTGCCCATGTAACATTAAAGACATAGGCAGCAAATATGAGGGGACCTCAAAAAGTTCATGGAAAAATGGAATTGAAAATACTAGAATTTTTCCATGAACATTTGAAGCTCCATTGTATTCCTTTAGAGAATTTTAAAAGGCTAGTAAATACTCCATTCCATGCATATATTCTCTCCCTGACTGAAGACCATTGAGGGTCATCAAGAATGGACAGTAGAGAGCCAGGGGCCAGGAAAGGCTCACTGCCTGAGTGCTTTGGTTTCTGATCCAAAGATAGCAATGAGCCCGATCAGAAGGGAATTCTCACATCCTTAGTATTTCCTCACTCTTTCTTTCTAACAAAGGGCTGCTCACTTCCCAACCTGCTGGAGAAGAAAAAGCAAGGGTTGATGAACAAAATGGGCTGAATGCTAGCTCTGCAACTTGTTAGCTGTGTGAACCTTGCGTAAATCAGTTCCTCTCTGACTTTGTTTCTTTATCTGTTGAATACGAATGACAAGTACCCCTGCCTTATTTTATTATAAGGAATGCAAGGATTACAAACAATATAAGTAAAATGCTAGGCATAGTACCTGGCTCATTATGCACGTTCTGTAAATGAAAGCCTTTGTTAATATGTTTGTCAGTAAAAAGTTAAGACTCTTCAAAATTTCCTGGATGTTTTGTGTTTTGGGTGGTTCCTTCCCCCCCCAATTATTACTGAGTGATTCATTCAGAAGGTAGTGCAGTGGAACGGATAACAGAGTGGACCTTGTAGTAAGATTGCATTCTCATCTCAACTTTGCTATTTGTAGCTGTGTAACATTGGGCAGATTAAACCTTTCTGTACCTCAATTTCTTCAACTGCAAAATAAGGGCTATAACCTGCTTGATAATGTTTTCAATCCTACAAAAACTGTTTTTGACTGCCTACTCTCTGACAAGAACTAAGATGTTAAAGAGTTTGTAGTATTAAATGTAAAGTTTGTGAAGTACTCAACAGTGTCTGGGTTTATAGATGTTCAGACTTAATCTTTTTTCATAAACTGTTTTAGTTATCTGTCTCTTTATATAAAAAGCTTGAACATTTATATTTGAGTGTTTAGTTGTATCTCAGATATGCATAAGAAACACAAGGAAGATGAAATATGAAAGCATTTTCTAAATGAACCCAGTCTCACTCTGATCCTCTTGCTGTCCTTTTTTCCAGCGTCACTGCAAAGATAAAAGCCATTGAAGCAAAGCTGAAAATGATGGCAGAAAACCCTGACGCAGAATATCCAGCAGCACCTGTTTATTCCTACTTTAAGCCATCAGATAAAAAAAGGACTACTCCTTACTCTAGAACAGCTTGGAAATCTCGAAGATGATGGTTGTGAATTACTGTGGCAGCAAAAGCAAATGGGTCTCCACACCTGAAATACTCTGCGTTTGTACTCTGTAGCTGTGAATGGTAAATCCAACAGAGCACAATCACATGTTAGAGTTTGGTAACACAACATTTGAGTTTTCTTATGGATGTTTCTTCCCTGAAGTATATGTGGAATTGAGCATCACCCAGAATAAATAGGATTGTATCCAAAACTGTGATTTGAACACTGGGATGCTCTAGTTGGCTGGTTTGTTTGGCTTTGTATCTCCAGAAACATAAAGCATGCCAGGGAGAAAAGAAAACATAGAAAATGTTGTTATTTAAATCAGGAAACTAAAATTAGTAAGTCTTTCTTTAAATAAAAAGAAAATAGGTCATTTTCTTGTGCTCTAGTATCTTTAGAACATAAAGGGAAAGGGACAGGGAGGGAAGTGAGAGGTTTTAAATCATGTTCCAGAGTGTTCCAGAATTTACCATGGAAATCCCTCCAAAAAAAGAGAACTTTCTTGGCAAAAGGGAGCTGGTTGTTGAAGCAAATGTGGTAATCTGTTTAAATAATGCTTATTGTCTCACAATCCCAATTAGGAAAACATGATGTATATCTTCAAATTGTTGTATTGACAAAACTGTAAAAATCAAATTGCGCTTTTTATACCACAACAGGAGTTCATTTGGAAATCCCAACTTTTTTTCTTTTGTGATTTTTTTATTATTATTATTATTATTGAAATTATCCTACTTTCCATAATACCAAATGCTGTTATTAATGTGGGACTTTTAAAATTACACTTACTGCATGAGATTGTTTTTATAGCATGAGAATGTTCTACTTGAAATTGTTATCACGGTCAATCTATATAGAAAAGCAAACTTTCTTTGAAAACATAGCAGTTGGTATATTAATAGCTCTCACACATTTTATTTCCTATTTATTGTGTAGGACTCTGAGGTTGTACCATCTTATGAAGGGTAGAGTTTGGGGTACATGTAATGGGCACACAGAGTCAGTAGAGTATCAAGTACTTAGATACCACGATTTGTAATGACCTCATGATTTATGTCCTTTAAAAGTTTTGAAGACGCATGACTTTAAAATGAAGGTTCGTTCATAGAGCATCTTTCTCCATAGATTGTTTTGCCTCTTTGAACATTCTAAATAGAACAGTATAGAGAAATAAATACATCAACAGCTTTTGAGATCTTCAGTCAGCACAGTTTTGGTAATTTTGGTGCCAAGTATGACAGACTGTTTCATTAGGCGAGCTATTGTCCTGTACCAGGTAAATCACTGTTGCTCCTGCTGCCATTCTTGGTGATTACAAACTGTTTACTAGTGTCGTTCCTATCAAGAGGAAGCTTTCGTTATAAAATTAAGTCTTCCTATGAGTGTAAAATGAATTTAAGACACAAATCAAACTTCAGCATATTGAAGTTCTAGAATTCACAGACTGGCTCAGAGAAATTCTTATCACTTTTCCCAAGATATCTAGATATAAAACACTTTATGCATTTATGAGCTCTAGCTGTAATATAAGCAACCCTCCTCCCACTTGGAGAAGAGTTCAGGGAGGTAGTAGCACAGTTTCCCATTTCTCTGGTGACTTTTTGGAGTATAGAATTCACCATTTTACCCTTAAATATCAAAGGGTTATGGTGGAGTAGGATTTACTTAATGCAAAATAGTCTTCTATTTTTAATAGGAATTTAGAAAAAACTTTGAATTATAGAGTTGTTTTCTTTAGAAACCAGATCTATTTATTTGTATTTTAAGCAATGTTTATTATTTGTACCAATTCTTATTCCTTTGTGTGAATAAATGCAAGACGGTGTTTATGTGGTTGTGTCTTTTCTCATCCATTTACTGCAGCTCTCTCTCTGATAGGCTTCTTCCCACTCAGGACTGGGCTGCTGTGCTCAGGTGGGCTGCGGCTTCTTTGTTAGCTATTCTGCTGTGCTCTGACCAGAGTGAGCTTCCCAGACAATCCTAACTCTTACCACCCCTTATGCCCGCCTACTTCTGTTAAGTGAAGAGATGAGCTCTTTTCATTGCAAATGTAACTATTTCAGAAGTTGATCCTGGAAGGTCTCTGAAATTACTGTTCCATATTGTTTCTCTTTCAAAATAGAGGTTTCAAAAGAATAAATGTGTCACAAATACTGCTGAAAACAATTTGGTGAAAGGCTTATAAAAGACAAGTGTTGGTTGACAGTTTGTAATGAGGTTTATCTGTACTTAGGTAAAATTATTCTTTGGTTTGCTAAAATTGTATCACTTAGAATTCTGATACATAGTAGGGTGAAAAATTTAGGGAACTATTCAGGAGATAGAATATCTTCTTAATATTAGCTCCTGTTTTATCAAATGTAGATCTAACTAGTTGATCTTTTTTAACTTGGTATCTCAGTATTGGGGAAGAGGGAAGATATCTAAAACATGTCAAAAATCAGCGAAACTTTCGTGAAACCAGCCGTATCTCTTTTGTATTAGCATATGTGCAGTCAATTTCTTAGAACTGGCAATTATATTTGTGATTTTTTATTTGGCTATAAAAGAACAGGTTTAATTCTTACCGTACAATTAAATGTTAGACATTTTTATATGTCCTTATGTTCTTAAAATATTTCATGCTCCCATTATATTCATCTTTGATTTCTTTCTCTTCAGTTCTGCAATTCTTTAATAAATCCTATCAACCCCACCTTCAAAATACATCCTGAATCCAACTGCTTCTCATCACTTCCAAAACTACCGTTTTGTTCAAGTTGCCCTCATCTCTTGCCAGATTGTGCAATGCCCTCTTCATTATCTCCTTTCCTCCTTTATTGCCTCCTTGAATCCATTTTCCACACAGCAGCCAAAGTGATCTTTGTTAAAACCTGAGCATGCCTAGTCTCAATGGTTTTTCATCACACTTAGAATAAAATCCAAAGAATTACAAGACCCAAATGAACAAAGCTACCAGTCAGAGATGTAGTCCGTCTGACTACACAGACTACCTCTCTAACTGCAGTTTCATTCTCCCCTTTGCTTACTATGCCCCAGCCACACCAACCTCTTACTAGTCTTCGAATACCAGCAAGTTCCTACCACAAGACCTTTTGCACTGGAGTGTCCATTCCCCAGATAGCCACAGAGCCCCACTCCCTCAATGGATACATGTCTATCCAAATACTAGTGATCAAGGTGCTATCCCTAACTTCTCTCTAAAAGTGGCTCCTTGTCACCCTCAATCTTTTACTCTTTCTGAAGACCACCACTACCCAACATAACATAGAGACTTACCTTCTGTTTCTCATTAGAATGTATGTGAAGCAGAGTCTTTTATTCACTATTCTATTCCCAACATTTAAAACAATGCCCTATTTAGTGTTCTTAGGTGCTGTTGAGTCAGTTCCAACTTACAGTGACCTTATATATGCGTAACAGAATGAACCGCTTTTAAGGGTCCTGTGCTGTTCTCCCCATTGTTATGTCTGAGTACATTGTTGCCGCCACTGTCTCAGTCCTTGTTAGGAGTCTTTCTCTTTTTCACTGACCCTCACTTTTCCAAACATGATGTCCTTCAGCAACTGGTCCCTCATAACAGCATGTGCAAAGTACCAGAGACCAAGTCTTGCCATCCCTGCTTCTAAGGATTCTGTTTCTACTTCTTCCAAGACGATTTATGTGTTCTACTGGCAGTCCATGGTACTTTTCAGGAGTCTCCAACCATAATTCAAATACATCCATTCTTCTACAGTCTTCTTTATTCATTGTCCAGCTTTCACATGCATACCCTATGTAAGATATAGTTTCCTGGTGTGTAATTGTAGGATCAGCACTGGACTGCAAACCACAAGGTCAGCAGTTCAAACGTACCAGCTGTTCCTTGAAAACCCTATACAGGGTTGCTCTAAGTGGGAACCAACTGAAAAGCATGTTAACGACAATGTAATATGCTCAATAGTTGTTAAATGAAAAATTATGGCATTCGACAGCTGAAGGGCCTTGAGAGGCCATCCTATATAGCAAAATGAGAAACCCAGAAAACTAAAGGACAAAGTGACTTGTTCAGAATCACAGAATGTGAGAGATTGAGGTAGAACCCAGAGCAGAAACTTCTCATCCAGTGTCTTTTAAACCAGGTGTTGGCAGACTATCCCATGCCAGTGCCTTTATACAGCCCACAGTGAAGAATGATTTTTGCATTTTAAAATTACAGTCAAAAGAATAATATTTCATGCTACATGAAGATAATATGAGATTTAGATTTCAGTGTTCATCAATAAAAGTTCATTGGAACATGGCCGTGCCCGTTTTTTTACGTATTACTAATAATTACTGTCCCATACACATACACCTGCTATATGAGGGGACTTTTAAAAGTTTGTGAAAAAAAATTCCATTTTCCCACAAGCTTTTTGAGACCCTTTGTAATAGTACAGACGAATATTTACTATCTGACTCTTCACAGAAATAGTTTTCTGACCCCTATAAACTATGAGGGAAGTCAAAAAAGTTTTGCTATAATATGGAAAACTTTAATAAACAAAAATATCAAAACATGCAACTATTCTCAACATAACGTCCATCAAGGTCTATACATTTCTGAAGTCAGTGTTTCCACCTCCAATCCTTCCCCGAAGAATTCTGTACTTCCCTATTTTGCTGTTGAGTTGGTTCCAACTCAGAGTGAGCCTATGCACAACAAAATGAAATACTGTCAGGTCCTTCAGTGTGACAGCTATTAGACTTGAGCCCATTGCTGCTGCCACAGTGCCAATCCATCTGGTAGGGATCTTTCTCTTTTTTGCTGATCCTCCATTTTACTAAGCATGATGTCCTCCACAGACTGGTCCCTCCTGATAATATGTCCAAAATATAAAAGATGAAGTCTCACCGTCCTGGCTTCTAAGGAACATCTGGCTGCACTTCCAACATGGATTTGTTTGTTCTTCTGGCAGTCCATGGTACTTTCAGTATTCTCCAACACCATAACTCAATTGCATCAATTCTCC